ATTTTGAAATTCAAGATTACGGCCATTGGTTCAATAAAAACTGTCAAATACCCTACAATATGAGTATTTCCGGACGTGTAGAGGCCGGAAACCGATACCAGGCGCCGTTTTAAAAACCAAGATGGCGGCCATCGGTTTTAAGAAAAACTGTCAAATATCCTACAATGTGGGAATTTCCGAAAAGGGACGACGTGTAAAGGTCAGATATACATTCCAGAAGCTATTTTGGGATCCAATATGGCGGCAACATGTTTTCCATAAATAAGGCTTACCAAGCATATTGCGTATAATTTATTGTGTATAGCGTATCATTGAGCAAGATCGCAACATAACGTGGGAAATTCCGCAAAACAATAAAATGCTTTGCTACAGATTTATTCCACATTTTATTTTCTCTTTCGATAACAAAGAACCAACCAGCGCTGTCATGTTTTATGCATTCTAGTCACTTTCGTTCTTCCACACCGTGAGATGGGTCTCGACTTCCCTTAGCAAATCTTGCATTTTTGCACTCCGTTCAACATTGCTGTCCAATGTGTAGAAACTTTCGACCTCGGATAGTTGATTTAGTTTTAACTCGATTTCTGCCGCACCAGGTGGTGGATGAAAATATCAACCATATTCACTGTAGAGTGGTCCAGGAATAAATCTGTAGTTTACGATAGAAAAAAACAAAACAATTAAAAGCGTTTTATTGTTTTGAGGAATTTTCCACGTTATGTTGCGATCTTGCTCAGTGATACGCTATACACAATAAATTATACGCAATATTCTTGGTAAGCCTTATATATGGAAAACATGTTTTTCTAACTAGTTCGTTTATTTGGAAGGCTCAATCACGTTAGCTTTACGGAGCCGATAGTTCATTGTTCTTTGTTTGTAACAACATTCACTTAATTCTATGTCTAGTAGGAGTTGGGCCGAATACTCGCGGCTTACTCGAGGTAAGAGAGGTACATTGTCGAAGGATAGGATCAGGGGAGGAGCTTGGGGGTAAGGTTTCGATGTCTCATCAGAGCGTTGTCACCAGTATGAACGGTAGTGCGGTTCTAGTTTCGTCTGGAGTTCGATCGGCTATGGTGACAATGGAAAACATGTTGCCGCCATATTGGATTCCAAAATAGCGTCTGGAATCTATATCTGGCCTCTACACTTCGTCCATTTTCGGAAATTCCCACATTGTAGTGTATTTGACAGTTTTTCTTAAACTGATGGCCGCCATCTTGGATTTCAAAATGGCATCTGGCATCGATTTCCGGCCTCTACACGTCGTTTCCTTTCCGGAAATACTCATATTGTAGAGTATTTGACAGTTTTTCTTGACCCGATGGCCATCTTGGATCCCAAAATGTCGTCTGGCATCTATTTCCGGCCTCTACACGTCGTCTCCTTCCAAAAATATCCATATTGTAGGGTATTTGACAGTTTTTCTTGAACCTATCGTCGCCATCTTGGATTACAAAATGGCATCTGACATCGATTTCCGGTCTCTACACGTCATCTCCTATCCGAAAATACCCATGTTGTTGGGTATTTGACAGTTTTTCTTGAAACGATGGCAACCATCTTGGATTCCAAAATGGCGTCTGACATCGATTTTCGGCCTCGACACGTCGTTTCCTATCTGGAAATACCCATATGGTAGCGTATTTGACAGTTTTTCTTGACACGATGGTCGCCATCTTGGATTCCAAAATGGCGTCTGGCATCGATTTCTGGCATCTACACGTCGTTCCCTCTCTGGAAATACCCGTATTATAGGGTATTTGACAGTTTTTCTTGACCCGATGGCCGCCATCTTGGATTCCAAAATGACGTCTGGCATCGATTTCCGGCCTCTACACGTCGTCCCCTTTCCAAAAATATCTATATTGTAGGGTATTTGACAGTTTTTCTTGAACCGATGGCCGCCATCTTGGATTCCAAAATGGCATCTGACATCAATTTCCGGCCTCTACACGTCATCTCTTTTCCGGTTCCTGTTCTAACATTGCACAGCAACATCTTATATGGAAAAGTTTGGAGACATTACATATTAAGGAAGTTCATGTGTACACTAGCGCCGCGTAGTGTGAGAGTTCTGAAATAATATGACGATCATCCGAAAGGACTTAGTCACCTGAACAACTTTGCTGAAAACAGCAACTTTCTATATGGCCAGGCTCTCGAGATACAGTTTATATAGGAATTGCACATGCACACTAGCGCTGCGTAGTGAGAGAGTTCTGAACTAATATGGCCACCATCCGAAAGGACTTGATCACCTAAACAACTTTGCTGAATACAGTAACTTTCTATATGGTCAGGATCACGAAATATTCTATGTTGGAAATATGATCCATATATTATAGCGCCCGTCATAAGTCCCCCCTATTCTGCGAGTCACGTGACTCTCTGTCACCGGTGAGGTGACAATAGTCACCTCGTGTGAGGTGACTCTCCATTTGATTTGCACGGAGAGTCACCTCACACGAGGTGACAATTGTCACCTCACCGGTGAGAGAGAGTCACGTGACTCGCAGAATAAGGGGGAGTAACATAAAAGTGAAGCGCCTCTAGCGGCGTAGTTCCCAATTTAACCTGAATCCAATGGCACAGGCTTGTTGGTCTAACCCAGTACAGCAACTTTGTCGAAGACAGTATAGCTTTATGTATTGAAACAAATGAGATAATCCACTACAGCCCCCATTAGTGAAAATCCCATAAGCTGTGGGTATGCTTATTCGCGGATAGCCCGGCAATAAGGATCCGGCAATAAGAGATACCGGCAATAAGGAATCCGGCAATAAGGATTCCTGACTGTACTCAAGGTCTGACCCAACTAGCAACAAGTCCAATAAGGTTCCGTGGTTGTCGAGAAATTTGAACACTCAATAGGCCGAGTTCTACAAAATCATGAAGTTTGATATGTTGAACGACGGGTTTATAGATCTTGTTGAGAATTGGCCACTTACCCGGGGGCACCAGAACTTTTCTATAGTTCAATTACATCATTTGAGTGAGAAATTGAATTTTGAAATCTATGCAAATTTAGACGATAGCAACACAAAGGTTAAATGCTTCGTCCCGTTTCTTCTCGTCCACTTGGGAACATGATCGCTTTATCGAGGGCCAGTTTGTCCGGTATCAGCTTGTTCAACTGGAGAGCTCCTGGCCTTTGCTTTGTGAGTAAAGGGCTTTGGAACGGTTTGTTTACAAATGTTGATGAGCCCTTATCTATTGTTGATCCAGATTGTAAAGTGGTTAGTTGGAGAAAACAGAGCATAAAATCAAAGCATGCTTTCGGAAATTCTGAAACCGTCAGTTGCTCTGTTTGAAAACAACTTGTTTGGACCTCAAAATGTCAGCAGAGCACCAGCCCGAAACAGTTTCAGTTGCCGATCCTCGACTCTGCAGAAAAAATCACAAATATTTAGCCAAACTCAGCATCGATTCCGGTCTGCTCGCCACCACGCTGATCCAGCTTCGTTTAGTACTGCGAGCGGACAAGGAAACGTATCCGCTATTGGTTTACCTGCTTCTGGGATTCATTTCACTTTCCTTCATCCTCCAGATGGTCATCATGATGATGTACATTTTCGTTCATGTGAGATTTTTTTTTTCATTTGCTTGATCTTTGAACATTGTGCTGATGTGCCTTTCAGTATTTTAGAAACCGCGCCGAATATCCCAAAATCAAGTTCGTTATTACGGAGATGATCTTCGTGGTAACGATTCTGAACACCGTCACAGTAGTGCTACTGGAAGCCCTCCTTGAACCAAAATAGGAAAACCAGGAATTCTTCAAAGCTTTTTCAAAAGAAGATTGAATTCCTCGCTCAAAGAGAACCATCATTATTTCAACGGAGCGGGCAACTAGCGTACAGAATTAGAATATTTTTTTGGAATTAATGAAAAGCAACTTACGACGAACAAACGGCTCAATTCACTGCCCTAACATTCTCGTCTTCCGTTTTGACCTTCTCGCCGCATTCGAACCGTTGAAAATCGACTACCTCCACGTGGTTAGCTTCCAGCACTTCTGCCACCGTGTAGCTCGGATCGGCCAGGTACTCCTGATAGATCAAGCAGGTTTCATCGTCCTTGTCCTTGGCCGGTTCGTCTCGGATTTTGTCTCCAATTCGGGCCGGTTTCATTCCCACCACGTGCTGGCAGATCTTCTTCGCCACTTCTCCATTGGAGTCCGGATTGGTGTTTTTAAATGCAAGGATGCTGCCATATTTGCCATATTGTGGAATATCCGATGGGACGTCTCCGCTCGGTGATGGATGGACGTATGCTGGAAAAAACGCAAGAAATTAATTTTAATTTACACTCCTTGAGCATCTTTGTTGAAACTCACCAGTCAAATTGATGCTCTCCGGGACTTTGTAGCAGATGGCTCTGTTAAGGGAAGCATTCTCGCCAACGGTTCCAATCATCAGCGCCAGGTGGTCTCCGAGCGATTTTCCATCATCCAGCTTGATCTGCTTCAGTGCTTCACTGTTCAAACCCACTTTGGTCAGATTGGTATCGCCTTCCACCTGATCCATGTATCGCACGCATGCTGCCGAAGCGGTCTGGACAAACTTCTGGAAACTCTGATTCCTGGCAACGAAGTCCGTTTCACAGTTGACTTCCACCATGGCACCGATGTTGTTCCTCACCAGAATACCAACCAAACCCTGACTAGTGTTGCGACCCTCGAGCTTCGTTGCTTTGGACCATCCCAAAGCTTGAGCCTGCTCCTTCAGCCACTGTTCTGCCTTGGCCAGATCGTTATTGTGCATCTCGAGGGCTTTCTTGCAGTTGGCGAATGTGTAACCGGTCTTCTTTCGTAGTGCGGCCAGGGCACTCTTTTCCGCAGTGGCGTACAGTCGGATACCGGTTCCATGGCCAACGAAGCGTGTGAGGCGACTGAAAAGCATGCTGAGAAATGCAAAAAAAAAGTTATGCCACACACTTGTAATTTATCAGAGCTACTAGTTTAACGCATAATTTGAAGAAAAAAAAATGCTCAATTAGTTCTCAACCTTAAATCTTTAATCATCGTTATAAAATATGAGTTACAATAGTAGATTCTAAAATCAACGTGACAAATATAATAAACTAATATGCCATTAATACGCAGTTCTATTTCTTAATAGTCATTACTCATATCCAAATAAATAAGATCGAATACGGTCCTTGACGCTGCATCCAAACTTGGAATGATCTTCGGAATCACGCGGCCAAGATCAACAAAACCATCGACTTCCTTCCCCCCTTGTTCATTCCCCATCTCAATCCTCGTCTCCTATCAACTCGTCGAAGATCTCGGCAAACTCCTGCGCATAAGCCAACCGCTCATTCCTGGTCCACGAGCCGGTATTGGGACGGAACTGCATGACCTGCGTCAACAATTTTTCGAATCCCATCAACTCTTCCTCGATCCTCAGCTCGTCCACGGCCGGCGGTTGCTCCACACTGCTGCCACCATCCCCATCACCGCCACCTCCTTCAGCGGTGCCGCCTTTCCTGCTCATATTTACATTGGACCAAATGAAATTATGCATCGCTTGCACCAGCTCGTCCACCCCGGCCGCTTCCCCTTCCTCCGTTTCTCCACTCGGTTCCAGCTCAATCACGTCCAGCACATTGCAAAACTTCTTCGCCTCCTTGTAGGTTATCCCCTTCTCGCACTCCTCCAGCAGCTCCGAGCACAGCAATATCCCGAACTCTATGTCCGCATTCGTCACGAACCCGGCGTACTCCGGTAGTCGCTTCAAAAAATCCCGATCCTTCGCATCGAAGTAAATCAAAATTCCTTCCATCTGTTTCAGAATTGCCTCCGGCACCTCACTCAACCCGTCCGCACTTTTCCACGGACAGAAGACCACATCCGTTTCGTAGTACTTGGTTCGGATGTGATATCGGTACCCGGTCCGGCCGTCTGCCAGCTGCTGTTGGCATTCGTCGGTCGGAATCTTTCGCACTTTCGCTATCAACGACTCCGGTTCGACTGTCGAATCGGCCGACAGGACCAGCACAATCGGATTGGTGCTGTCGTCCATTTCTATTGCGTCGCCGCCAGGTGGCAAATCTGAAACAGGCGGACCGGAATTAGTTCGTGTGTGACCCGGAGAGGAGTAACTACTGTTGTTGATGCTGTTGCTGTTCGTGTTTCCCGTTTTGTGCCGGAGTTACATCATAGGATTGCGGTGAGCAAACTTTGCACGACTATTCGCAAAGGAAACGAACGAAAAACTTCCTGCGAAAGAGGAGCAGATACTTACGCTGTGCTTTGTGGTTGTTTCCTGCTTTTTCAGTGGCAATTTGCTGGGGAAAATTCAATTTTCCGGATGGAAATTTATCAACACCTCACACACTTTTTATTTTTCGGAAGGTTAGACAGAGACCTGTCACTGGTAAAACTTGCAGAATCCTACTCGCTTCCACTTTATCGACAGTTCTCTACACGAGATGTAAGACGGCATGCCAGCAGGTTAATACACGGAAAACAAAATCACACGGTGCAAAAATTTAACCCTTTCCTTCCCGAAAAAAAAATACAGTGGTTATGGACGAGTGCACCGATGGATTTGAGTTCCCTCACTCGAGAAAAAGTGACACAAGCTGCAGGCAATGATTACTAATCTTGAACACTAAAGAACCACCCACATTAGATGCGTTTGCGTTGCGTTGACGTAAATTTGACAGTTAGACAATAGATTTAGCTGTCACTTTGCCGCAACGCGTCCGATCCGGATCTAATGTGCGTGGGCCTTAAATGTTCATGAATAAAGAATAATGAACATTTAGTCACAGACAAACAGACATAACACTCGCAAGTTGTTCATCGAACAAGCATTTAACGGTCAATTTAAAAGTATCGTAGTTGGTAGTACCGCCACCTGTGGCGCGCATAGTCAATTCCCTTGCGTTTGACGTTTACACACTACCACCATCTGTTCAGCGTACTACCCACCACAGTGTACTCAACAGATGGCGGTAATGTTTTTGCGACGATGTTTTACAGTGAGAAATATTCAATGTGTTATGTCTGTTTGTCTGTGAATTAGTGTTCATGATTAGTTAACATTGCCCGCTGCTTGTGTCACTTTTTCTCGAGTGAGTGAACTCAAATTCATCGGTGCACTCGTCCATTGCGGATTTCATACCTCTCATACCATAAGAGAGTACCAGCAACAATCAATACGAAACTAACGATTTTAAATTGGCTCATCACTTTAGTAGCCTATTGGTCCCAAGCAAACGATTGACGTACCCTATTCTAGTTGAAATTCTATTACTATACTATGTTTGTTTTGATTCGCTATGAAAGTTTGACAGATAACATCAGGGGTGTGTGGATTCATGCAGAACATGCAGGGGTGAGTGAAATAGCTTGGGACTGCTTGGGACCGTTGTTCTGGTACTGAGTGAGCCAAAAATAATAATGATTTTCTTCGGGACCCAGTGGTCTTAGAGTTACCTCTATGGTACCAGAGCTGAGCCAAAAAGTTGAGCACGTTATTTCGGGACCCTCTAGTCTTAGAGTTATCTCTATAGTAATATCATAGAGGTAACTCTAAGACCAGAAGGTCCCGAAGAAACGAGCTCAACTTTTTGGCTCAGCTCTGGTACTATCTGCGGTCCCAAGCTAATCCCGCACCCCTCGAAACATAGGAAAATCCACAAACCCCTCATTTTATCTTCAAACTTTCATAGCGAATCAAAACAAACATAGTGTAGGACTAGAATTTTGACTAGAATGGGGTACGTTAATCGATTTGCTTGGGACCAATAGGCTAGTCAAGTAGTGAGCCAATTTAAAACCGTTAGTTTCGTACTGATTGTTGATATTACTGTGCATTTATTTTTTGCACAGGAGTCTAATTTGGTACAAAATGCGCAATAATTTTTGCAACAGATTTCGCTAGTAATAGCAGCTAGTAAAAAGTTCTGGTGATTTATTGCGTGCGCGAAAAAAAATGTTGATTTTAATGAAATAAGGACCGTTTTCTGAAAAAAAAAAAATATTTAATACAACTGCTGGGTCAACTTTTTACATAACACCCCGAAGGGGAAGACATTGTAATCTCGACTTAAAGAAGAGTTCGACAGTGGGCATGCATAATGGCGTAAACGCGATGATCGGTTATCTTCGTCGATTTTCTCTTTTGTTAATATTGCCATTTCAGGGAAAATAATTCGTCGCAACTGACAGACATAACATGCTATTAAAGCTGATAATCTGACTCCAAATGCTAATTTTTCTCTGAATTGGCTATAATTCACTAGAATTAAGGTTTCTCTGTGCGTTTGTTGTTGCTTTTGATAGCCAATACAACCTGTTACAACTATGCATTGAACAAATTCTAGAAAATTGTTTCGCTTAGCTGTAGCTATGCAAAGAGAAAATCGATCATCGCGTATACGCCCTAATGCATGCTCACTGTCGCGGCGAGTCGCCAGCTGCGCGCCCACAGACCGCCCTGTGGAGTGGGCGGACTTGGGCGGAGCGCCCCCGCGTCACTATTTAGTCTCTCTTTGCGCGCCCCCACGGCGCCGGCGCGCATATTTGCCACATTTAAGGGCGTGAGGCGAAAACGATACCTGTCAAAAAACTGATCGTTTCAGCCATTTTGTCCGCCATTTGTCCTACCCCATCCACCCCAGCGCGGTCCTTTGCTTCTCACCACCATTTTTTTTTCAATGGGTTTTAATTTACTAAAAATAAAAACAGTTGAAGCATAAACATGACTTCATCAAAAAACTATATATATCATAATCTTATAACTAACATTATTGCTTTTTTTTATTAAATATATGGTAACCTAACAAAAATATCTTACAAGCTAAGTCAATCCCATCATGTGACAGATCAAGTAACATTAGAATTCAAAGACTAGTTCAATGGAACTCAAATCTAGTTCCAAGAACCAAAGTGGCCACATCCGGACATATTCCGGGTGTCCCGACGGAAGAAGCCAACATCTGATTAGGATCAAACCCATCATGCAACATATCAAATTACATGATAATTCAAAGACTAGTTCAATGGAACTCCAATTTAGTTCCTACAACTACTTTGGCCTCATCCGCCTATATCCGATGACATTTTATTCTCATGTGAATTTATGCTTTGTTTATGTTTACATTCAGCACCATGAACACCAGATCACTCACACACTCTAGATTTCAAGCTGTCAGTTTCACTGAGAAACATCGATATTTCGACAGTGAGCATTCATAAGGGCGTATACGCGATGATCGATTCTCTTCATCGAATTTCTCTTTGCATTGCTACAGCTAAGCGAAACAATTTTCTAGAATTTGTTCAATGCAGAGTTGTAACAGGTTGTATTAGCTATCAAAAGCAATAGCAAACGTACCGAGAAACGTTAAATCTAGCGAGTTATTAACAAAAGAGAAAATCGATGAAGAGAATCGATCATCGCGTATAGGCCCTTATGCATGCTCACTGTCGATTTGCTGGTGTGCGTTTGGAACACAGCCGTTGTGCGAGAGATTCCGTAAGAAAATTGGCTTCGGATGCACAGTCTAACAAAGCTCGGGCGAGAATGTAGCTGCCGTCAGAGTGCATGACTTTCACGTAGGCAGTAAGCATGAATACAGACGACATGCATGCTTTCGATACAAGAGACTGGCCAGAAGCGACGGTTTGACAGTTCGTCACTTGTGAGGAGCTATGAGTGGAGCTTGACGGTATGGACTGCGGAACCGGCGACGGACTGAACGAAATTGAACGATTTACAAGCTCATTAGACGACGACGGGGCTGGTCCCGTAACCCGAGGGACCACGTGACAATGATCGGCAATGCACGAAACCGACGACGGCGATTCGACGACCGTAACCGATTGTGAGGAGTGCTGACATTGGCCGACCTGAGCTGCTACAGTCTATAGTCGCTATATTCATAGTCTGGCGGATAGAATTTCGGTCTATCAAAAAGCGGAACCAATTCAATATATTGTAGACCAACAATTGAAAAGGTACTATCAACTTTTATAAACAAAACGTTGATTATTATTTCCTCGCCAATGGAAGGTAAATTACCAGCATCATTGGATAGAGGAAACTTTCCACAACCAAAAGATAGTGTTAGTTTGTGTAGGCGAGCCTTGAGTCACGAGAAAACGGGTTACGAAATTTGGTTCGCCAAAGCTGATGTGCACTTTTCTGTTGTTGGTCGTGATTTGCTCGATTGGTTCCGCTATATGACAGCTCAATTGGTTCCCGAGATTCTATCCGCCAGACTATATAGCGACTATACTACAGTCTTGTTGTGACTGTCTGTACTTGGGGCAGCTTGAGCATTCTAGATTGGGAGAGCGCAATAGATTGGAGTATGTGAGAGCGCTTTTGAATGAAAGCAACCAATTCATTATATCAAGAGCAAATTTTCATTACGTCGAATGTAACAAAGGTAAACAAAGTCGAGCTATCAGTGTCAATCGATGCTCCTGCTATTACACTATATACTGTCCGAATATAGGATCACATCCCATTTTAAAATTTATGTACCAGTCAAATTGCTTTTTGACGTAATCACCTTCCGATCAAAATAGTTTTCGATGTTACTTAAGTCACCCGATTTCTATGGAGATGCCGTTTGCCTTAAGTAACAGCGCTGAGAAACCCGTGAAAAGTGTACGTTCGTCGTTTCGCTTTCTCATTATTAAAGCGAATAAATCGAACTGTTTGTTGCTAAGATGATTTCGGTAGTCCTAAAATGATGAATGGGCTGCACGTAAGGAGACGTAATTGATAATTCTCCAGAATATCCTGGTAAATACACTTTGACTTAAGTAACAATAGGGGCCACCAAACGACGTATAATAACTTTTGACTCAAAAACCAGTATTTTTTAGCATGAAAGCTAGCGATTTGCATTTGTATGATTAAAACCCGGCTAAATATGTTAAACATTGCAATCACTATGAGATTATATGTGTTTAATTGGAAATAGGAATAACTTTTCGGTTATCAAAACAAAACTTTATTTTTCTCGGATCGGTGCGAATGTTACTTACGACATAATGAAAATTTGCTCTTGATATGTTGGCCGCATATCATCGTCGAGTTGGTTTTCTCACTCCTTGTGCGTAACTGGATCGAGCTTGCTGCTTAACAACTCAACAAGGAAGGAATTCCAGTGATCTCTGGATTTCTCCAATTTATTCAGCACGCAAATGTGCTTATCGAATTCGTCTGCCAGATTTGACAGCGCCGACGATGATTCGTTACGCACCGAAGAAGCGAACAGCAAAGCCGAAAAGTGTTGCTTTATTAGCAGATTCCTGTTGTCAAAACGTTTCTTCAGCAAATCCCACGCGATTACGTAGTTGGCCGCTGAGACTGCTAAAGACT